GCCGTTGTGGGACCTCTAGTGTTGCGAGTTTACGTTTTAGCAGACTTTGTCAAGCCTGGATTGCGTAGTCGACTTGGGGACCTAAGCAGCCATCGAGCCCCAAAGATGGATGAATCCAAACGCCCGAGTGCACTCTGCGAAAGACCAACATGCAGGTTACATCATTTTGAAGCGGACATGTACTGCCTGGAACAGCCGAGTGTGTCCTATATTTTGCACAACTAGATCACATGGCTGGTAGGTAGTCTGCGTATTCCGCACGCCAAGCTTATATATGCAGGCATCTCGGCTGTGGGTGTTAGTGATCACGTGTGTGAAATCAGTGTCAAACATTCAGCCAATCAGATGAGACATGAAAATCGATTGGTATAGAGCCATCATGTTTGGACATGTGCTAACGGGGGCTGTGTTCCATGAGTCAGTTGTAGTTTCCGCATGTGCGAGTAAAAGTTGTACGCAGCGTCACTCTTATCTCTAGAATACTAAACAAGGGATACAACATATGTTAACAACTGTGCACATATTCAATTTAAATCCGACGCATCCCTCACCGACCGGTTAGATGCCTCATCAAATTCCCGTTCGAAGTTCTCGTGGTCGTCCAATCCCTTGATTGCGCTTCAAATCTTGGCGTCGTCTTCAGTGAAGTTTTCAAGGTGATTATTCTTGCTGAATCGTTAATGAATAGTAAGCAAAAACTAGGCACATTTAGCTAATCTTGCGGTGTACTGCACACAACTATCAAATAATAATGTGTCAGCTGTATGCCGTAACGGCGCTCCGCTGCCGCGCTTGCACTGAGTATACCGCGAGGACGCACAACTCTACGCGGATTCGAACCGGTTCGCGGTGCGTGATCTATGGGGATGAATTCGTGCTGCTAAGGTGCGATGATACTGTTTATTTTCCTCAACCCATCAGTGTGTCTGCGATTATTGCTTCCATGAACTTGGCGAGCACGGTAGGAGTGTTATCCGACGGTAATTGACAAGTTCAAATCGAATTCCTCGCTTGTGCGCTAGGGTGATAATACCTCGTTCCACATTGATAGAAGTATGGTTTCGTCAGACGGTGCTGAAATAATCAACGAAGTAATTAGCCCAGGTGCATGGCTGCTACTTACAGTGCTTTCGGGTGAATTTTATCCGCTCCAAGAGAGCTATGTGCGCGGAAAGTTCTCTAAAGTAGGTTGTCCTGCTAGTCTAGGTATCGCCTATCCAAATATGGTAGGGGCTGACCACTATATTTCAGGATAGTGTTCGGTTGAGTAACGTTGGGGTAAACTTAAACGAGGAATGGATATCTTCCGATGATAGCTACTCTCCGAGGCTGATGTCAGGACTGAAGATAATTTGAGCTGTGGAGTGGAAGACAGTGAACTATCATGCCTGAGATGGTGTGCCTCGACGCATTCGAGAATAAACTTAATTTATTTAATTATCTATGACTTCTAACCACGTCTTCGCTACATAAACGGGCTTTCTATAAAGTACAGTCTCCAACTACCTGTTGGTAAGTTTTTGAGTATTTTTAAACCGATAAGATAGCTTGTAGGACCTCAGACGTAGTAGGACATGAGTGCACCACCACGAAACGATGAAGCGTGAGGCAGCAGACACTTGTCCAACGAATGTTGTAACAGTCTGTTCTGAACTATACTTTATGAATATTGGACGATTAATCTCTATTAGTTTCAGGGAACTACCAAGCCAGTAACTAAGGGAGATACTATTTCAAAACCATTGTTCATTATTCGGAAGCTTTGTGATGGTAAACCCATGATATGTGTAAATTGCATTATATAAAAATCTCAGTCCCTGCACACAAGTGAAGAAATGCGTCTGCATGGAATCGCCACCTCCACGGTTGCCTCCATAATGTTTTTGTATCTAATTCCATAGCGCGCTTATTCTATTAGAAATCACTTTTAATGCATTTGTTCTCGAAAGTGAGATACATTCTATCGCTGCTCTTGGGATATTGTTGACAACCGCCCCCCGTAGTTGATGCATTCAGTCGGATCAAGTTAAAGCGTTTTTTCTTACGTGTAAGCTAAACAAGGCTCCGGATCGATGAGGCAGACTCGTAGTTCTTCCACCGACGCGACGCTAAGTTGAACCGCGGTAGATGTATTAAGTCTATTTATTTTGCTAAATCCAAATTGCTTCTCTTTTCACGAGGTGTGAAGTTCACCCTGTTTCTAGTTGCAGCATCAAGGATGTGCAGAAACAAGTCACACTCCCATACCTACAGCAATTATTGTAATTGTGCGATGCTAGCAGCAAATTGTATGGCAGGGACCGATCTGTCATTCGGTGGGCATTGGGAGGGAATGTGCGGACTGATTGTCACGATGCTGTAAATCCTTCTATTATTCTATTTAAAACGAGCACTAATTTTAGAAAACCCCTTTTAGTTTGGATTATCGAAAGGGAAACACTGCCGGAGTAGATCATTCGCGCCCTTCGTGTATTTATATAACCGTGTCGTCCCACTTAACCACTCCCTACCAGGGTCAAATGTCCAAGTAATCAACCTACTCCGGCCACATCATTGGCGCAGGGAACCTCATTGGTCTCTATACAAAAAGAGAATATGTTTCCATTAGCCATCTCTAATTGTGTCTTCGGTTTGGTAGTCTTTCCTTGAATTGAACACTCTTACCCATTGAGACGGGGAAAAAGCAGAATGTAAGTTTTGATAGTCACAGAATTTTTCATGTCAAGCTTCATCTGATTCGCAGCAATCTGTTTTAAGGAAATAAGATTTCAGTTATTTCCCGTAAGAGGCAATTTTCTGTGATCCAACAGTTACCCGGCCTAGTCCCAATCAACGGACACAGTATACACACTGGTTGCCGACGTGTTACTATGGCCAGTGCCTCTGTTGAAAACCTTTTGAATTGGCGCTATAGTTCTCCACATAAATTCAACTCCACAAAATTTGTGATAACATGCTGACTAATAGTGTGGAGCAGATGAGAATACTTCAACTACTTAATCTCCGCCTCAACCTGCGTTCCGTTATCGACGTAACGGTCAGCTGTTTAGAGTAGACAGCCCCATAGCATGACAGCTAACACACCACGTACAACAGAGATTCCGTGAGCACAACTACCCGAGGAAACCTACCGACACATTTTTGGTATTGCACGCTAGCCACAATGCACGCCGTGATTGGCGGACGCCTTCACCACTGAGCGACTCGATGATGTAAGACAAGCGTATGCGGCAGCTTTCCATGTGTCCCAGCTTACAGTCACAATTTTGGTGTCTCCACTTGACGAGCGGTAACACGTACAAAAGCGGTTATAGTGTAGTAATGCGATTAAGTAAACGCCTAACATTAATCGGTTTCCGATTCGGTCCCCATAACCCCGAACTGATTGAGATTCACGCCAAATGAAACCAAAGTTCTGATTGGATTTGCGCTTCAAACAAATCAACACTGAGTAGCTTGCAAACGGTTCATGGGTCAACAACACATGGCGACTGGAATAGAAAGTACATGTGGATGTTTGTGAGTAGAGTAATGTTCGTAGACAGTAGAAGTCACGATTAAAATTCACGCACATTAATGTGCCTCGACGGGGAATCGAACCCCGGCCCGACGAATTTCCGGTCCGCTGCTCTACCACTGAGCTACCGAGGGCTGACGATTAGGTGCGCAATTTTTATTACATGACTTCTGCTTGGTGCGCGACGTATTGCCAATGAGCTCACCGTATCTGTCCTGGTGTTGCAGATTGGCTCACTCACTCGTCACTTCCCAATGGACCGAAATATCTGTCCTTCTGATGTCCAAAGGGCGATGGTAGATTACATGTGGATGTTTGTGAGTAGGGTAATGTTCGTAGAAAGTAGAAGTCACGATTAAACTTCACACAATAATCTGTCTCGACAGGGAATCGAACCCCGGTCCCACGAATTTCCGGTCCGTTGCTCTACCACTGAGCTACCGGGGTTCGATTCCCCGTCGAGGCAGGGTATTGTGTGAAGTTTAATCGTGACTTCTACTTTCTACGAATAGCAAGTAATAGCATAACTGAGAACTAGGTTCAGTCCATTCAGGTTACGTTTGTTACTTCGCACGCCTCGGTTAAATCGTTGCGTCCCGATCACTTTTTTACTTGCGTAAACCTAATGCTGTTGAGGGGGACTGAGACAGCAGCACTTTGATTTGCGTGACGTTGACTTCGGTTTCCACACCGCCCTACTAATGGCCACTCTAGCCATTGTCGTTGAGTAAAGACGTAGGAGACTTGTCAATCATCAGAATAGTCAGCATTCAATGCCTATTCGTGGACCATCCACTGACTATCATGAGAAGTCACATGCTGGGTGTGGTTCATCCTCGTCGCCAGTGTCGCGCAATTCGCGTTGGTAACTGAACGTTGGGATACTTGTAAGCCTAAGTAACATGCTGCTAAACAAGGTGGATGCGCCAGCGCGTGGGCAGTTCGCATTCACTGCTTGCCGGAGGGCGTAAAGGTAAAGAGAGCTAAGTAGCTCATCAGAGAAATTTTAATGCATACACCCCGGATGTTAAAGGTGAAGCATATCGCGAGCAGTTATCAACCGAGTGATATGCGCGGCTGTATGTGTGCACAAGGCTGCCAGTGTAGTGGAAAAAAATCGAATTATCCTTATACACACGCACACTGAGCCTATGACAAGGTAGGTGCAGGTGTTCCGTTCAGCGCCAGACAGACGAGACCACGCCTCTCCATGCGCGCAGCGTGAACAATAGACACGACACAGTTCACGCTGACATACGGTCCACGCTCTCTGACGGGGAAAGTATGCCGGGCGTTGAAAGAGAGGTGGACATGCGAGTAGGCGCGTACGCACCACAAAGTACAACGAACGCTAGACCGACGGTAGGACGCCAGAAGAGGATACGTAAGCCGGTTGGGCATTGGACAAGAGCGGGCTTACCCCAAGGCGCGTTTAGCTCTTCACCTAGGTCACTTAATTTTGCTGACACACAGAGAAGTGATCATCGGTGGACTGTACACCGTTAGCATCCTGCTCAACCTGTGTGCCTAGGTGGGGAAATTATCAGGACTGTGGAGCCTACACCACTTGAATTGGTGAAGTGTGTGCGAATAACTGATATTTCCCCATGTCCCCTCTTCAAACACGGCCCGTCACATATTTTTCCGTCCGTTAGCAGACTACTTTAGATTCCCGTATAGTCGAATGACGAAATATCCGTCCTAGAACGTTGAACCGATCTGTCAAGGAGTCTGTCAGAATGACCAGACATGTTGTTTGAGCGACACGCAAGACACAGAACCATAATGTTTATAGATCTTGCTTAGTATGTGGTCCCGGCAATACCAAGCAGCATGGAGCTTTGGGTGCGCTGACTGTATCCCCTTTCCTTTGAGCCACTGGCGGTTCGGTTCATCTTAGGGCGGTCCCATCGATTACACAGCTTGACGCCCACGCAAGACCGCAATACGTCCCAGCGGTCCGCGTCTCCTCTTCCGTGGAATAATATGACTCGCGGTGCGGGGGGTCTGTTAGACGGTGGATTTGTCTTCAAGCTCGGCCGATTATTCAAAATCCCATACGGTGGAGAGGGAGTGGACTTCATGGACCAACTCAACTACCAATTCACCGGCGGCTTGATGATTATATTCATAGCCATTATCAGCTTGCGCCAATACGTAGGTAAGTGGGAAATTGTTGCTCTTTATTTTAATATTTCTAACTAATTTTGTTCTGATGGACTAACTTCACCCAAAAATGAATTAAGGTAACTAGCCTAGCAAGCTAAGAGTCACCCTAAATGTCCTAGTTGGGCCTTAACTCGCTGTCAGCTTGAACGCTTATAAAGAGTCCCCAACGACATACCAAGCACATGGATGTAATTCTGAACTTACACTGGGCAGTTAACAGCTGTGCGACAGCCATTCATGCACAAATATCCGCCCTTTCCGTGCAGAGTAAACGCGATCTATCATATGTCCACAGCAAGTGAAAAATTACCATGGCCAGCCCATTGTTGGCGCCGCAGCATAAAAGCTTTCATGTAGATTATAACCCAGTGTTGAGTGAATTACAGGTTGGTTATTTGGCCACAGTGACGCAATGCCCGAACAATGAAACCGAGACGATTCACTTCCATGATGTGGGTGATGACCAAAAGAATTTGCGGTGTTCGCAAGTGTTTGACCTTTGCTCCTATCAATTATTCAGCTTAAACAATCCACCCTTCAGGCGTCCTCACACTGCTGAACTGCTGTAATTTCGGTAAATGCCGGCATATTAACCGCAGATCTGTTACTATTATCTCTGATTTCCTGTATCTTTCTTCAATAACCCTCTCTGTTTTTTACCTCGGTCAACGGAAACTTTCCGATGGTGTGTAGTACGCGTGAGCAATCCTTGCAAAGTCCTGAACTGGGGTACACTAGTTTGGGGAAGTTCCGGAAAGCGTATGCCGCTAGCGAAACCGCTTCTTGGGCTGAATAAGAAAATTTAAGTAAATAAAACTGTTGGCGCAGGGGTGAACAAGTGGTATAGTTGTGTTCGGAGGTGAAAGCTGGTTGGCTTTTAGTGGTGTTAACTTGTCTAGATCTTGAGGAGAACGCTTGGTACGCATTTTGAGCTTAGAGATGGGAACAGTTTCCTTTGTTCAGTTGTTGTGGAGTTCTCCGAGCTGGGCAACTTGGTTGCAGACGTTTCGCCACCAATCGAGGTGGCATCTTCAGTGCGCGATTGATAGCAGGTAACTAGCAATAGCTGGTAGAAATCAAACCCAATAATGGGTTTGCTTTCTACCAACTATTGCTACTTACCTGCTATCAATCCCGCACTGAAAATGCCACCTCGAATGGTGGCAAAACGTCTGCAACCAAGTTGCCCAGCTCGGAGAACTCCACAACAACTGAGCAAGCCTCCCGAGCTACCAATATTCCAAATCATTTCGAAGTTTCCTTTGTGTTGCTTAGAAGAGTTCTCGATAAGTCTAAAGCTGCTCGCATACAACCAGCGAACTATAGAATGATCCTTTGTTGTCTACCCACGAGGGGGACTGCAATCGAAACTTCATTGCATGTTAACGAATCAGGGTTTTTGGGGCAACAAGTGTACCAAGTTTCGTGTTGACCTGAACATTCACCACTACACACCAAATCCGTAGCACAATGTGTCAAACTGTATATTGCGCGAACAGAATCCAAATCATCTAATTAGTGTCAACCTATTTTAACAAAATTCACTTCCATAGAAGTCCTCTTTTCCTACACGTGAGTAGGATACCCGACTCCAGTAAACATCTTCGCACGTAGCACATGAAATTCAGTACATCCGATACATTGAGCTATTCATTCAGGCTGACGTGAAATGCACAGTTCAACTCACTTTGGTGCACACCTTGTGGACACAAGTGGTCTTTTTATGTAGTCAGATTGTCGATGGGTCTTGCGGTTTATTCTGTGCAAACCCGCGCTCCTCCATTTCCGTGTGGCCCGTTGGGATAGGAGTCCCACTTGGCAAGGGCTAAGAGAACGAACGGCTACTCAGCGCCTCAGCAAGTTCATGCTGTCTGGTTGTCCCACCTCCAGAAAAATCCTTTCGGTTGCTACCGTTCGGATGTCGGTCAGCCATTTTAATTCACAGAGATCGCGTTCCTGAACAGCGCGCTTAATTGGTACGACGTGGAGTCAAAAGTGGCACATTTTCATGTGCAACACCAACGCGGGATTATCGGACGAATATTCGCTTTCTACTTGTGTTTAAGGAGAATTTGTCTGTTTCGGTATCTCACAGTAGCTCTCAAAGCTAAAACGGACCTATTTGCTGCACAGGTAATTAACGGCCATTACTGTGCCATGCTTCAACCACATCCCACGTCGTTGTGCGATTGCATAATGAACTGCTACATGACGGGACGGATTGCAATCTCCGAACTGCATCTTTCCGAGACATTACACAGCGTCCAGTTAAAGCTCCACTAACCGAACCACGATTTCAGGGGGACACGTTGTGCGAACCAGTGCCGGAATCGGGAAATCATTGGTTTTTCAGATGAATTACTCTCTCGTTATTGCAAATAGTTTTCCGGTAGAGCTTTCGTTGTCATCGCTCATCGCCAATTTAGATGAACATCGCTACATGTTTTCGCTGTTTATTTAACAGTTCCGCTTGTTGTATGCCTTGGTGTGATGGATCTAGACACTGCAGCTACCAGTGCGTAGTATCATGAGATGATTGTTTCGTGAGTCTTCGGTCTGGTCTAACGACACAACGTGTTTAAAGTACTAGAACTATTATTGGCTTCCTTCAAGTGTACCGATCTCATCAGGTATACCCAAGCCTCATAATATGGGAAAAACCGAATTCTTTGTGAACCTATCATTCGTGAAAGACAGTGGTTCTCAACCTTTTTGAGGTCGTTACCCACAAAGTGGGTTCACTATAAACAACTACGGTCCAAACATTTTCATTTAAAAAGCCATCTAGCTATTAACCTTTTCATTTTTTGCTTCCAATTAAGGCAAATAAATACTATTTAAGTTAATTTTTATCATTCAACTAAAGAAACAATTGCGTTTTAGCAATATTTTATTAAATCACGAGGTGATGTAAGTTAATGAGACAGCTGATATTGCTTAGTTCCAACAGTGCTTCCCATATTTGGTGCGATTTCAGATAATGCACATCGTAAGTCGTGCTCGAAGTACACTCAGTTCCTTGCTTTGGTGCGTGCTCCCTAATCAAAAATGAACAGATGTCAGTGGGTCCCCATTTGTTTCAAACATCCATTCCTTCCTTGGTCACAGCTTCCCACCACCACACTATTTCGATACGATCTGAAGACTAATCACCGGTTTTGTCCCCTCTATCTTGCCAACATTCCCTCGTTCTAATACCTGGCCTGCTGACCTACGCTCCTACCTTAGTGTTCACTCAACTATATAATTCAACCCGGTGAACGACTGCTTAACTTAAAAGAGCAACGATTGACGAGCGAACCGATAGAGGCGCCATCTAGTTGCGTTGTTTTGCAGGCTTGTATTCATATTTTAGGTAGTAAAATTTGTTATCAGTTGTCTAATTCACTGACCATACTAACGTTTTGTCACTGATGGGTGACCAATCGTGACTAGGTAGTTAGCTGCATGTTTTGCTACACATGATTTTGTTTGGCTACAGCTTGATGACTCAATCCTTGTGCTCATATTTACCCTCAGTAGAATTCCATTTCACTCCTTTGGGAGTAATTCCCTCCAGCTTGAGAACCACTGATCTAAGAGGTTGCACGTCATTACTGAGTCATGCCTACTGGAGTCACATTTCCTTTCAAGATTACAGCTCCAAAACGATCGACCAAATTGATACGTTCGGGATGGAATTCACCTGAATTCACACTTATCACTTTGTGAAGTGTTTCTCTGTAATAAGATCAGCAAATCACACTCATTGCTCATCGCTTTGAATGAGTAGGAAGAGTTTCTGCTACCGACACAAAATAACTCCGAAGGGTCAAGCTGTAGCATAATAGATCGATGCACAAACTTAAATCTCACCTAACGGCTCACTGGGTTTTATCATGTTCAACAAAATGACACAGTTTGTCTACCGTTTCCCTGTTGTATGATTTATAAGGCCAACTGCTGCGTTCACTGATGTCTTCTGTCAATTAAACTGACATGTATGTAGACGAGAGATTCAACCTCTGGTTGTACTCCCACTGTGCACGGAAAGAGCTACGTAATGCCTGTCATGACCAGCTTGCTTCATCAATGTCTTTGCTATCACAGTGAAGGTATGCTGATGCCTAATCCGTCGGACGGGATCGATTCCCGCCGGCATGCAGGCAGTTTCTCCTTTTGCAATTTGCAGCCATGGAACGTTTAAATGACGCGAATTACTACCAAATGGCAGAGTAGACACCTAATGCTGGAGAGAACAAATTCGACAATACAGAATGGTCTCTCATTTACGTAATTCATCTGTTATGGCGAAACTAATATTGTAGTTAAACATAGCAACCGCTCACACGAGCAACACTTGGGCTAACACCATTGTACTAGCAAAAACCTTACAGACGTCGAAACCCGTCCAAGCTCGAAAGTTAGAATTGTAGCATGATGAGTATGATATGGAGGGGGAATGACGAGTACGATGAGCCACAAGGAGGCAAGTGAATCAAATACCCCCAACCAAAGCTCAGTGATTGGATAATTTTGTATGTGAGTGAGGAACTTATCTCTGCTTCCGGTACTGTTCCCGTGATCGTTATATCTAGGCTTTACCACAAACTAAATTCTAGTCAGAGGCAGTGTCACAACCTGAATTAGCAGCAAAAATTTCTGTTCAAAGGAGAAATTAACAAAGGAGGGGTTTATCGCATCCAGTGCGTGTTAATGTTCAGCGAATGTGTTGGTACCAGAATGAGTCTTCTCACCACTCTTCGTCTCCCTTCTACGTCCATCTATGTGATATCGCCTACTTCCTTTGACTAGAAAATTAAATTCACATTGTTTTAACTGCACGATGTGACATCTGTAAGGGGCTACCTTGTCCTTTGCACGGTAGTAACGTGCAAGTCAATGGACGATGAGCTGCGCTGTCACGTCTAGCATGTTTTGCATGTATTATGGCACAGTAGCTGAGGTGTTTCCCACCTCTAGCTAAGGTGCATAATGATGACGATGACAAGT